TTCTAAAGAGTATAATTAAAAAGTACATAATTTTAATGACAATTTTCAGAATAGTATTATTGGAATTAACCAAATTTTTATAAACAATTAGCGATAAGTAAAATATTAAAAAAAAACAGTTGCCCGTATTGAAAAAATCTCTGTACAGCAACTTTATTGATTGACTGTATGGAAGTACATACGTACATATATGTATATTTATATTTCATGCAATATTGTGAATATTAACTGCGAAAAACTTGCGATAACTGTCCATAAAGTAAATTAAATAAATTATCAAATTATAATAAAGTTGAACTTAATAACTAATCAGACAAAAAATTCGTCAACCGACAAAACATAATGCTCGATAAAATAAAAAAAAGGAATGTCAACTATGTATGTGAATAAATAAAAGCGAAATGTTGAGTAATGGGCACTGGAAAAGTATAAAGTTATATAAATTTCAAGTACAATACATGTGTAGATATGTACTACATATGTAAATATATGTATGTATTAGCATCAGTATCGCATACAAAGCGGCATCGACGTCATCAGCGTCAATTATCAGGCTTATAATAATAGTTACATATCAGCGACGCTATGGGCTGCCCGAGTTGAGGCCATTGGAAAATACATAAAAGAGAGGAAAAAACTTCAAGCGAATTGGCGGAAAAAATGTTTTTCTTTTTTTCCTTATGTATTTGTAACGTGTGTGGAACTCTATGTTTTTGTGGGAGTTGCGACTAAATTTCAAAGTACATATCGTCGTTTAAAGTGCAACAAAACCTCGTAAACTGACATTTGTGCCAAAAATAAGATTTGCTCACCGGAAGCTGCTGGTGTCAAGCCTTATTCAATCATACCAAAATATCGATATTTACGTCGTTTAAAATACAAAACCGCGTATCAAGATAATGCAAAACCACGCATGTTGCATAAATTATTTTCTAGAGAGTGAAAACATTAATATTTCAAAATGGTTCTGTTTTTTATAAAGTAATCGCATTTCAGGCTAGTATATTTCAGGACGAATGGATATGGATTAAGCCAAGAGCTTGTATGAGCAAATCCAATTTTTGGCAGCAAATGTCAGTTACGCGGTTGTGCAGAATTACGATATGCGGTTTTGTACTTTAAACAACTATATAAAAGGTAGAGATGATTGTGGATAAAATAGAGAACCGTTTTGAAATACAACAGGTTTTTCTCTCCTGTAAAATTTGAGCAACCTCACTTACGAGGTCTTGTATTATCTTGATCGCAGTTTTGTACTTTAAACGACAATATTTAGATACATGTATGTATGTATATAACATTATATAACGGTAGGCATATGATTTTTTTTAATTAAATATAGGTTTTTCAGTTACACATATGAAAACTCCATAAATTCCGTACATGAAAAAATCACTTTTCCGATTAATAGTAACAGCTGAAAATAAAGATATTAGTGAATTTCGTTAGGTCATGGACCAGACGATTTAAAGTCTATTTTTTGGTTGAGACAAATTTAAGGGCATACCAAATCGTTTTATTGTCTCGAATTGTGAAAATTTCAAAAACAGACTCCATTTTCCTTGGTGCAAAAGTTATATGGTCAACCCGGAACCACTGGGGTTTACCAAATAGCGCTCTAAAAAATGGCCTGCTTATGAATTCATGACTTTAAGCTTTTTCATATAACGTTATGTCCACACACTATGTATGCACATTAGGGTGGTCCAAAAACAGTAAAGTCGGAATTGTAATGTTCTCATCCCTAGGATTGTTCTATATCGAAAAAAGTATATCCCTATTTTCTTATTTTGAACTCAAAAAATATTTAGAAGTCGCTCAAAGCGCTCAAAGTTTTCCATGTATTTTTATATGGGAGAAAAACAAATTTTCGTAGAAATGGTACAGAATTCTTGTAAATCAATATTTTTCGATCAGAAAGCTCTGGTTCTCTTCAAGAGACTTTCAATAATAATATCCAATTGTTTATTCAACCATTTTGTAACCATTTTTCGGGGTTTTTATGGGTTTTTGGCGGACCTATAAATTATAGTTGCGAGGAAAAAATGCTTAAATAAACAATTGGGTATTATTATTGGAAATCTCCTGCAGATAAACAGAGTTTTCCGATAGCAAAATATTGATTTTTAAGAATTATATACCATTCCTACGAAAAGCTGTTTTTCCCCATATAAAATGCATGCAAAACTTTGGGCGCTTTGAGCGACCTCCAAATATTTTTTGATTTAAAAAAATAGGGATATATTTTTTTGGGTATATAACAATCCTACGGGGTGAGAGCATAAAAAATCCGACCTTACTTTTTCACATGCATTTTTGGACCACCCTAATGCACATATCGCACTTTTGCTGCAAGAGTGTCATAATGTTAAATAATGCAAAATCGAGTTAAGTATGCGGGAAATACAGCCACCCGTTATTCTATGTTGTGTAAAAATTTAACAAAACGTGTATTAATTTTTACTATTATGTGAATATGTTAAAATTCAAAACTTTCCAAGCCGTTTTTCTCGAGTTTTTAATTTTTGGATTATGACACTAACAGTAAATGTGTATGGACTTCTCTAAATTGGGACGCTACACATTGTTCCAAGTTGCCTAACCAAAAAACGAGGAGGATTTTAACGTTCTTAAAGTAATAACTAGAGCTGAGAGTTCTATCCGGATGTTTTGACTATCCGAATATTCGTATATCTGAATAAAAAATCTGATATACGGATATCCGTATAGTTAATAGATTTCCGGATATTCAATTATGAAAATGAATAATAAAATAAGAATTTTTCGTTTATGGATGGAATTTTCAATTAATTATTTTGCAATTCGATAGATTCAGTAAACTTGAGAAATATTTTACAAACCCATTCAAATACTTTTATAATATTAGAATGACAAAATGAACGGATACTAACAGGATATCCGGATAACAAAATCAACGGATGTTAGCCGGTTATCCGTACTATTGAGATTTTATTCTTATACATGAATATCCGAACGAATTATACGGATGTTCGAATATACGGAAAGTCCCAGCCCTACTATACTTCGTGCGCATACGTTTATACATACGCTTTTATTATTACTTACTTTTAATTATTTTATTTATAAAAATATAGTATATTCTTTAACAAACGCTATTAAAAAAAATTATAGTTTAAAAAACTAAATATTCGCTTTCCATTCGTGCTGTCATCGGGTTACTTTAACAATGGAAATTTAAAGGAATTCCAATTCAAACTGTCATCAGTAGTGCGATTCTGTAACTCTTAGCAATAAAAAAATTGTTAGGTTACATAACAACTTTTGCCGTTTGCACTAACAATTGTGTGATTCTCTAACTCTTGCTTAACAGCGAAAAACAGCTGATTATTCCTTTTTATTTAAAATGATGAAATGTGGCATCTCAGTCGAGATAAATGTCAAATATGCGAAAAGTACAAAGAGGAATAAGAAAAAAACTTATTTCCTTCCCGCGGAAACGGAATTTTTAGCGCCAGCAACGTATTGCAATTTTAAAAGGTAGTATTTAGTTATTTTAGTTATTAATTGGAATTTACTAGAACTTCTTTTATTTCAGGATGTCTATCCAGCCGACGAAAAGGAGCCGTGCATCGGGGGAGCAGTTAAGCGCGATGCTTGACTTTCTGGGTGAAAACCCGAATGTGGCGAGCGGCAAGTTCCAGAAGCTCCATGGCAAGTTGGAGAACACCAAGAAGTGGGCAGAGATGGCAGATAAATTGAATTCTCTTGGGGGGGCTGCCAAATCTGTGGAGCAATGGCAAAATGTAAGTATAAGTGATGAAGTACGGGCATTTCCGGAAATGCATTACTGCAAAACATCGCACCTCTTATTCCAAAAATATGTTTGCTGAAATCAGACATCATTATATACTTAAGTATAAGGAGAGGTGCTTTGCAGTAAGGCATTTCCGAAAACGGCCTACACCAAAGAATAGTAAAGTATGAAAGTGTGTTTCTATTTTGCAAAAGGTCTGGCGCGACCTAAAAAGTCGAACATCGACGCGAGTTCGTGATCGTAAGAGGGAGCAAGCATTGACGGGGAATATACCGCTTCAACAGCCTCCCTTGAACGAATTGGAGAAGCGGGTAATAGCTCTAGTGGGAAGCAGCTATATGGAGGGGCAACCGGATGTCCAAGAGAATATTCCCATGGAAGAGGTAAGTTGAATTGTACCGTATTAAAAGCCCATGCCAATATGTTAATCATATTGCAATATTCATTATGCTATTTTTAGGAACTGCAATTAACATTGGGGGTGGCGGATGAAAATTTCCGCTTAGTCATGGAGGAAGACACCATGGTAATTCCTCCACTAACGGTGTCGGATGGCGAGTCGGAAATTCGGTGAGAAACTCCGAAAACGCCGAGGCAAACACCGCGCAGAACCGATAAGCGGAAACGTGCGGAAGAATCGCCAACAAAGGCGAAATTTTTAAGAATTGCCGAGGCACAGGCCGAATCAGAAAAGGTAATTTTTTCAATACTGTATTTGTATTGAATTATTAATAAAACTTTTATTTTCTTAGAGGCTTGCTGAAAGTGCTGCAACCAACGCGGAGGCCAACCGCTCCAATGCTGAGGCAATAAGCAGAATGGCTGCTGCCACAGAGCGAATGGCTACCGTAACTGCAACAATGGCAGAGGCCTTCACGGTGTTGGCGGAGGGGGTGAAAGCTTGTGCGCATGCTTTCGCCCAGTTTACTAATTCACTGGGCCCTCCCCAATAGATGTAAATTGTTTGTGTATATACTTTTCTTTTTCTTTTTTAAGGTTCATTAATTTTTTGTTAAAGTTAAGCTCCTTAGCTAACAAAACCAATATAAGTCCAAATTTGAGACTTTGTACAAAAATTACAAAAATTCCACAAACTGTTCTTCACAATTCCAAGCATTTTAATTTTGATTTCTAGAATAATGCAATTTTATAGCTTATTAAAATCGAGTATAATAAAGTGCAAGTTATTCTATAAATTAAAATTATAATGCTTAAGAGGGGACGAAAAGTTTATGTAATTTCTATAATTTTTGTACAAAGTCTCTAATTTGGACCTATATTGGTTTTGTTAGTTAAGGAGCTTAACTTTAACAAAAAATTTATGAACCTTAAAAAAGCACAGAAAAGTAGTCAAAACTGGTAAAAATTTTGATGTGCTATCTTTTGTCGCGGGCTGTATGTATATACATATTTTTATTAATAATAGGCTAGATTATTATTAACTTATTTGTTGGTGCCTTTTTACTTTTTTGTTTTTAAAATGAATTGTTCTTAGTTGAATCTTGTTTTCTGAATTTGTTTATAGTGATAAGTGTTCGTGCCTTGAGTATACGCATTTTTTTTTTAATATTCGCAATGTTTTTTATGCTATAAATTTTTGCTCAGTTTTTTTTTCAAAGGATGGCTCATATTTTAACAAATATTATACAAATCTAAGTTTCACACTGTATACATAAATTAGAAGTATTCTGCCAAGTTTTATCCAAATCGCAAGATTTTTAATAAGAATTTCCAAAAAAAAGTATGTATGCATCCCAATTTTATTATAATTTGCAAATTTCAAATGTCTAAAAATTTGGGTTGTTTAATAATTTTTTGCTGTCCTGTGCATTTTTTCCATATAAAGCATTTTCAATCATTTTTTATATGGTAAAAATGCATAGGACAGCAAAAAATTAGTATAAAACAACGCGCATTTTCAGACATTTCAAATTTGCACATTATCATAATAAAATTGGGATGGATACATACTTTTTTTTGGAAATGCTTATTAAAAATCTTGCCATTTGGATGCAACTTGGCAGAATACTTCTAAATTATGTACATATACAGTGTGAAGCTTAGATTTGTATAGCATTTGTTAAAATAGGAGACATTCTTTAAGCAAAACAAAAAATTCACAAAAATATATAGCAAGAAAAACATTGCGAATATTAAACAAAATATCACCGTATTAATTATTTAATGAATTATTTTATTTTCATTTAGCTTTGGTGGCTATTATTAACTAATTTAATTTTATTGTACTGATTTTGAAATAAATGAAATGGTAATTTAATAAAAACTTCGTTTTATATATTTAATATGTATAACAGCATTTAATGCATATTTTTATTTACATATATTATTTATTTTATCAAAGAAGAATTAATAAAAAAAGTTAATACTGAGGCTAAATAGTTTGCTTTTATTTTATTAGTTTTCTTACCGGCTACTGAAATTTTCTAGTGAAACTTAAATATGTACTTATAGTTGAATATATGTAATTTGGTTATGATTCAAAACAAGAATTTTATTACGTGTGTCAAGTTATCACTATATTTTTCTAAATATAAAAAGAAAAAGAAAAACTTATTTTTCTTTCCACAACAAACTTACAACAAAAAAGTTACAATTAATGCCGTATTTAACTTTTAAATGAGTTGAAATAATGCATTATATAACAGTTGTGCATGTACATAACAGTTGTTCACAAAATAAAAGGAGTCAAAATATCGCATTCCTATTATTTCGTGGACCACTCTAAATAATATCGGGTAGATATTTCCAATCAATTTATAATGTCGATACCCCAGTTATTTCAATGTCTACATGCATTCAGAGTACATAAAATGGTGAAAAATTTGTTAAGTCATTAAAAATATGTTTGCTTTAAATTTGTAGAAAAACATATCGTCACCTGAAACTCAAAAAGACGTAACAAAAATCATTGTTAAAATGCAAAAAGTCATAACTAATAAAAAATTCAAAATTTACTTTTTGATTTATATAATGGATTTCAACGAGTTACAACTTCCCACATCATTTTATGAAAAAAATAATGAAAATATTAGTCACGACTTTTTCAATCTCATTTACGATATTGTTACGTCTTTTTGCATTTCAGGTGACGATATGTATTTACTTATTTGGTACTTATTCAATAAGTGTCAGGGTGCCGGTAATGTTGTGGTATGATCCTTCTTTGTTATCAAACTGGTTCTTTAATTGACTTAATGCGCATTTGGCAGCTGTGCACTTCACTGATAGTTACGACCAATACCCCGGAATGAACTACTGTGACCCTTGCACGGCGTCCATCAGCCGTTCGTCGTCATTGAAACGCTTCAAAACGTATTGGAATCGATGTAGTAAAGCAGTAACCGCCAAGCGCCCAGTGAAGACATTCGAATTCAATGATGTATCACCCCCGCAGTTGTATGTGCTAGAAAATTTGTGTTAGCGCTATTAAAAATGCCTGACTAGGCACATAAAACTCCTCTTTGGCATGGTTGTTTTTCGTTGTGATCTTTGTGCTTTCAATGCCGGTATTTAGCCAAATATTCCATGCAATCTACGTACAAGAAATGAATAAGAGATCTAAAAAGGTACTAAACTTCCCGCTAAACACAACTCACCCTGCAAATTCCTCATCTTTGTTTCCGCTGTTTCCTCGTTAGCAAGTGACGCCAATTTGTCTGCATTGTCATGCATAATTTCTTGCAGAGATTTTAGTGCGGCCAGCGAGTCTTCACAATTTTTACTCAAGGCAGCACCATCCACCTTCTCACTGCTTCCCGTACTGGAAAGCGCACGCACATTATCAAGCAACGGAAATAGAACTTGCCAAACGAGCGTCTGTTATGTGGGCTGGTTCAACAAACGACCATGCCAAAAAGAATGCGGCAAAGAGCATTGTGAACCGCACTCGCGGCAGTAACTATGCAATTACCAACTGAAGACACATAGGTATCAGCGGCTCACTGAAATGGTGAAATATGTATACACATTCCTTTGAAAATAATACCAAACAGAACACGCAATTTTACCTATGGGGATCATTTGCCTTCCAACATTTCTCAGGCAGAGAAGCGAGTATTATGCCAACAGCATTGATGTAGTTTTGTATCTCTTTTTGTGGTATCCATGAATAACCCTTCACAACAGCACCGGCACTCACAAATTCAATTGTTGTTTATTGGTTTAAAGCGAAACGCCCGGACAGTGTAAGGGCGCTGTTGGGTTGGTTGTTTTGTAATAGATTTAGGAACATTTTCAGCAATATAGGCTGTATTGATCCGGTCCGCCGGTCAATTCTTGGCACGTTTAATGGCTGCTCATTATCGGTATCATATAAATATGATGCAATGTATGCAAATGCCATTTTTTAACACAATCTTCACAATTTTCTCAATTTAACTTCACAGCAAAATTAGTAAACAACAGCTTAACAAAGAAAAACTAGATGCTGTTAGCTTAACCACAAAAATAATTGTCACCAAACAGCTGACTGCGTTTGTTAACACTAAACAATGACAAATATGGTTAAAGTTGATACACAATCACTTAACCCCAAAAAAAGTTGTTAACTAGAGATAACAACGTGAAATGTGGTTAAAATAAGATTCAGAATCGCACTACAGGTATGTCACTTGAGAATGGAAATCGTTGCATCTTTTAGGCGCATCAATATTACATAGTTGGATCCCAAGCTAATAATAGCGAGGTAAAAATCAAAAAACTTTCATACAAATTTCGAACTTTTTTTTAATTTGGGTATGCAGTTTTGTAGCCCATTCAATTTTCGTACTTTAAATAAGGACATATCCTAGATTTTTTGGCCATTTCGTTTGTTGAAAATGTAGCTCATTTTCTCTATAAAGCTGAAGCACAACACCGGCGAACGGCAAATTTTTCGTCGCGAATGTTCGCCGAGATAATTAAAACACACTCATTTATATGAGAACGCGCACAACCAAAGCAAACGGCGAAGTTTTCTCGACGACTGTTCGCGACGATAGATTTATTTCTATCATCGCGGTCAACGGCAACGACAAAAAAAGGCCATGATGACCGTACTTTAAAAGTTATCGTAATTTTTGTTTAAAAGTAAGATAATATAACCTTATATTTTTCTATCAGAGATTAATCTAGTAAAACGTAAGTTTACTAGTAGTTATATTTAAAGACTATTTCTATATTTTAAACTTCTTCTTGCTGGTATTTTCCCTCTTCGTTGTAAAAGCTTCCTTCTTGAAATATGGTCACCTTATCAGCTGACAGCATTCGAACCGCTCGATACCGCTCTATTTGTGTTTCAGTAAGCGAATTAGCTGGGCGAAAGTTGGTCGTCGGCATCGCTCTGCTGGGCGAAATTTGCCGTTCGCCGGGTACTGTGTTTCAAGCATTATGTATAAAAAGTAGTTGAACACAAAGCGATTTTATACAAGGTGGTAGTAAGAATACAAAAACAAGAGTGCATTTTGTATTACTGGTGTAATGTCAAAATCTCAATTCGCCCCAAAGTTTACTGATTTGGCAGCACACCCATGAAAAGCAAAAACAAAATCCATCTAAGGAGATGAAAGAAGAAGAAATCTGCTGGTCTAATAACACCACTTTGGTCCAGCATACGCGATAAATATTTTATATATGTATACTTTTGATTGAGTGATGGTTTTGAAATACATTTAATATTTTTAATTTGCATAAAAATATCGTTGAGAATGCTCTGTGGAGCAGACGCAAAGTGGGATGGGAATCAACACTAGGGCCAAAAATCTGCTTAACAAAATCATATGAGCATTTACACAGAATTTTCAACCAGGACCGAACTTCAAAACGAGCAAACAGTTGTATGGAAGCTATAAGTTATAGTGGACCGATTTTGACGGCTCCGACAAATAATTAACACATTATAAATATGTACTCTCGCTTACCAAATTTCAGTCGGATATCTCGAAAACTGAGGGACTCAATTGCGTTCAAACAGACAGACAGATCGACTCAGCTCGACGTTCTGATCATTTTGTCAAACATCTGGTACTTACAAACATCGGGCCAGATTTATAATACCATTTCATGTTCATAAAAAGTATAAATAATGATGGAAAAATCTTACGTTCGCGATATTTCAACGAGCCATTAGTTAG